AGCTTTAGCAATAAAACCTGGAAGCCGATTGGTTTCTATGTAGAAGTGCACAAGATTCTGAGTGAACCAGCTTTAGGAAATAAACCCCTGTGTCTTTTCTGCCGCCGCATCCGCTGCACCCACCCACATGCTGAATATTTTGGGTCTCTACTGAATGTCTGCAACAGGACTACCCTGGGCAGGAGGGCAGTTTGAACATTGAACACTTTAAATGGCATAATACTTTGAACCAGCAGTTCCTTAAATGGTATTAAGCCCAAACCAAAAATGTGATATATTGCAGCTTACCAATCATTAGATAGGTGGCTACATTAGTTTTCTTTTTCTAAGCTTTCTTCCCCCTCTTCTTTCATCTGGTGATTTGGCCAGTACCACACCTCCTGTATTAGAGTGGCCCTACTCTGGGCAAATGAGCACAGGGAGCACAGCAGACAGCAGCATCTGGGGGAGGATAGTGTTAAATGTACTAGCAGATTCAAATACACTAACAAACTGAAGTCAAATTCCAGCTCACACTTTATAATCAGTTACAGCAATAATTTTTTTCCTTTTGGGATAAAGATTTTATATGAATTAATAAAAGCTGATCATTGTAAGCACCCTTGTCAGTGGTAAATGGTTTTGTCATACTGGCTTGTGACTTATTGGTTAATGAAAATAGGAGAAAGAAAGCCTAAAAAGAAAACAAATGGCCATTTTATATATATAAATATATATATATATATATATATAAAGATTGTTTTGATTGAGGTTCTGTCCTATATGCCCACATCCTAAATTGTACGTAAGACACCAAAATAGTAGCTATGGACTATAGAGGGCACATAGATACTGGCGCCATATCAAAAACTGTATAAAAACATATGGTTTAATATACAAATCATAACACATATAGCACATATCCAGTGCAGAGTTCACAAATCTTTTCCATCTAACAATCCACATGTGGGCTCAGTGAGTTTTGATCGATCAAACATTTTTGGAGCCCGTGAATAAAATCAGTACAATGGAACCCGATCTTTTAATATCAGAGATATTTATGGACTGCTGGAACAAGATTAATTTGAAACATCATTTCCAGAAGGGGGTCACAGAGGAACGATAAAGAGCAGAAGGGCACCATATCCTCACACAAGGGATGCCGTGAGTGAAACGCCCAGACCAAAGTCAATTCAATCTAAAAAGAGATAACTCCCCAATTTACAGAGATTCCAAGATAGTCCAATACCCCCCATGTAGGGTTCAGGATAGTCTGGATACAAAATCAGTCATATGTCATATAACGTAGCCCAGCATATACGTCCAACATCTCACAGCAAATTGATGTGGTGGGAAGCCAGCTGTGAAGCCGCAAGGAGTCACAGCTGGCTTCCCACAGTAAACACGCCAGAGCCGCAGACCGAAGACCGGTGAAGGACTAGCCTGGATGAGGTACAGTATTTGTAGCTGTTGGCTTTTCTTTTTTTTTTCTAGGGTGAAGATACTCTTTAAACCTTAATAGGTTAAAGTGTTACAAACCTACAGCAGTAAAATCAGTCTGTATATGCAGTTTGTATATGCATGTTTGTTATACTCACTGTGGAACCTAAGGGGTTAATCCTCCGCATTATGCAAAAATGCTGTTTATTCCTGACTTTTCTGGTCCTCCCCTTCTTCCAGTGACCCCCTCTTATCTGCTGATAACACATATGGTGTGGAAACACTCTGCACATGCTCAGTTTGATGTGTCTTGCTAGAGAGGTTTTTTTTTTCTTGGAAGAGTGCATGTGATGAGCAGAGTGCTAATCAGCACTGTCCAGATAGAGGTCAGGGTTTCTGCATCCTTCTAGAGCAGAAAGAAAACTCCTCCTACAAGTTTTAACCAGTGCTCTGCTGAACTCTGATAGAAGTCCCAAGACTGCTCTAACTGCTGATGAGAAAAGATATTTAGCAGTTTATTTTTACTAAACTAATTGCATTTCCATGTTGTGTGTACTGTGGGAGACCAGATATAGTGAATGCAGGGTCCTGGGTTTAGTAACACTTTAAGTTAATAGGATAGGAAGCCTTTAATAAAACCAGATGGCTTAGGTTTGGTGGCTCTTCACTATGCGGGGGTTCCCCTCTCAGAGAAGGGGGTTACCCAGATTGAGAAGTCTATGGGGGTTGTTATCTAAAACTGAAGGTTGCAAAATCTAGTGCAGCTCTACATAGAAAGCAGTCAGCTTCCAGATTTTATTGTCAAAGCTTAACCACTTGACGACTGCCCCATAACAGATGTACTGCTACAGGGGGGCCGCGCTGTACAGAATCACATAAATATACATGCCTTTGCATTTCCGGGTAGGGGGCTCGCGCCACCCTACCTGTGCTATAATTGGTTCTTGAGATGTCAATTACCCAGTCAGAGATTCTCACCCAGGAATCGGTGATGCTGAGAAGGGAGAGATATGTGTGTAAACAACACAGATCTCTCTCCTGTCAGCATGGATGTGCTGCTTTCTATCTCTCTGCACAGCAGAGAGATAGAAAGCAGCAGGTCCCCTAGTAAAACAGCACACACTTTTCACAGTAAAACACAAACAGCACACTGTTAATCCTTTGATCGCGTCAGATGTTAACCCCTTCCTGCCTATTAGCACTGATCACTGTATTAGTGTCACTGGGGATGTCAGTTGCAGTTAGTCAGTTCCCACCCGGCATCAGAATGCACGCCGCAGTCCTGCTATAAGTCACTGATCGCTGCCATTACTAGTATAAAAAAAACATCCAGTATATATATACCATTATTTGTAGATGTTATAACTTTCAGGTATACCAATTAACCACTTGATAGATATACAGCGGCAGGGCGGCACTCGCAGGCAAAATCCACGTTTTAAAACATGTGTTTTGTAAACAAATAGGGGGCGCGCGTGAGGCGCGCCGCCGCCCTATCTGTCCCGCCGATCACCGCCGCAGATGTGAGTCGCCAGGTCACAGCCGGTCCTTAGCGGCTGTTTCCCGGCGATCGGCGGCAAACAGTGACAGACCGCACAGCTGCAGTAGCTGTGCTGTCTGTCACTTCCCTGTCAGCTCGAGGATGAGCTGATCGAGAAAGAACAGTTTCTCTTTCTCGATCAGCCTTGTCCCGTCCAGTACACTCCCCCCGCCCCCTAGTAAAACACTCCCCCTCACTCCTATAACCCTTCCCTGCAAAATAAAGTTAACCCCTTCCTCCCCATTGCCATTAGTACAGTGTCAGTGTTTTTTTTTTTGCACTGATCACTGTATTAGTGTTTTTGGGGATGTCAGTGACCCCAAGTCAGTACCCCCCCAATGTCAGAATGTCCGCCGCAGTCCCGCCATAAGTCGCTGGTCGCTGCCATAAGTCCCTGATCGCCGCCATAATTCGCTGATCGCCGCCATTATTAGTATAAAAAAAAACTAAAAATCCCAGTATCTTTCCCGCCATTTGTAAACGCTATAACTTTCACGTAAACCAATTATTTTACACGTATTGGGTTTTTTTTTTAGCAAAGACATGTTGCAGAATGCATTTTGGCAGAAATTTATGACTAAATTTGATTTTTGCATTTTTTTTACTGGACATGTTTTATAGCAAAAATTCCAAAATATTGTTTTTTTTCCTCAAAATTGTCAGCCTTTTTTTTTATAGCGCAAAAAATAAAAACTGCACAGGCGATCAAATACCACCAAAAGAAAGCTCAATTTGTGGGAAAAAAAAGGATGTAAATTTTATTTATGTACCGTATTGCATGACCGCGCAATTGTCCGTTAAACTAGCGCAGCGCTGTATAGCAGAAAAATGGCGTAAATTGCAGTATTTATACCATAGTTTGTAGACGCTATAACTTCCACACAAAGCAATCAATATACATTTATTGGGATTTTTTTTTACCAAAAACATGTAGCAGAATACATTTTGGCCTAAATTTATAACCAACTTTGAGTTTACTATATATTTTTTATAGCTGAAAATAAAAAATATTGTTTTTTCTTTAAAATTTTTGGCATTTTTTTGTTTTATAGCGTGAAAAATAAAAAGCGCACAGGTGATCAAATTACACCGAAAGAAAGCTCTATTTGTGTGAAAAAAAGGACGTAAATTTCGTTTGGGTGCAGCATTGCATGACCGCGCAATTATCAGTTGAATTAGTGCAGCGCCAGTAGCAAAAAGAGGCCTGGTCATTAAGGGGGGTAAATCCTCTGAGCTCAAGTGGTTAATATACACTTATTGGGATTTTTGTTTCAGCAAAGACATGTAGCAGAATACATTTGGATATGTTTTAAAGCAAAAAGTAAAAAACATTGTTTTTTTTTTTCAAAATTGTCAGTATTGTTTTCTGTTTATAGCTCAAAAAATAAAAAAACGCAAAGGTGATCAAATACCACCAAAAGAAAGCTCTATTTGTGGGGAAGAAATTACATAAACTTCTTTTATGCACAGCGCAATTGTCAGTTACTCAGCGCCATACCGAAAAAAATGGCCTGGTCAGGAAGGGGGGTAAATCTTCCGGAGGGCAAGTGGCTAATTGAGTAAGCTGAAGTTAGAAGCTGAGTGGTTGCCATGTACAGCTGCACCAGATTCTGATTGCACCAGTTTTAGTAAATCCCCCCAATGTGTATTTGAGCCAGAAGAAATGCCATTGATATATTCTTGGAATCCAAAAAGGTTTTATCAAATCACCAAATGACAATACAAGAAAACAAAAGACAATCAATGCGCTTTGGGGGCTCTTTAGCACTTGTCAGAATGAAGCTGCTGACACAGGCTTTCACTTACTGATCGCTCTTATGGTCTTTGCTCTGATCCTATAAACATTCTGATAAGTGCTTAAAGAGAATACTGTAGCTGCTGACTTTTAATAAAAAGACACTTACCATATTTTTTGCTCCATAAGACGCACTTTATTCCCCCCAAAAATTTGGGGAAAATGTCTGTGTGTCTTATGGAGTGAATATGGAGTGGCTAGACCGGTATTCCAGCCACCGCCGTGTTAGAATACCGAGCCGGCTGCTCGGCTCTACTGTGCAGAAGAACCTGCTCCTCAGTCCTACCTGTTCCTTGGTCCAGCGTGTCCTGCTGCTTCACCAGCCGTCTTCTCTCCCTGGCGCCAGTATCTTCAGTGTGGGCAACCGGCTGTGACAGCTTGCGACTTCAAAGCCGGGTGCCCACTGTGCATGCGCGAGAAGCGCTGCACTTTGTGAATGGCCACCTGTAGTCTTCTGGGACCTGTCACATGTCCCACAAGACTACGAGGAGGACAACTCTGCAGAAGTCTGCAGTCTTTGGTCATCTCCTGTACTATGTCCGCAGTCTCTGGTCATCTCCTATACTATGTCTGCAGCCTCTGGTCATCTCCTGTATTATGTTCGCAGCCTCTCGTCATCTCCTGTACTATGTCCGCAGCCTCTGGTCACCTCCTGTACTATGTCCGCAGCCTCTGGTCATCTCCTGTAGTATGTCCGCAGCCTCTGGTCATCTCCTGTAGTATGTCCGCAGCCTCTGGTCATCTCCTGTACTATGTCCGCAGCCTCTGGTCATCTCCTGTACTATGTCCGCAGTCTCTGGTCATCTCCTGTACTGTGTCCGCAGTCTCTGGTCATCTCCTGTACTATGTCCGCAGTCTCTGGTCATCTCCTGTACTGTGTCCGCAGTCCTCTGGTCATCTCCTGTACTATGTCCGCAGTCTCTGGTTATCTCCTGTAGTATGTCCGCAGCCTCTGGTCACCTCCTGTACTATGTCCACAGTCTCTGGTCATCTCCTGTAGAATGTGCGCAGCCTCTGGTCATCTCCTGTAGTATGTCTGCAGCCTCTGGTCATCTCCTGTAGTATGTCCGCAGCCTCTGGTCATCTCCTGTAATATGTCCTCTGCCTCTGGTCATCTCCTGTAGTATGTCCACAGCCTCTGGTCATCTCCTGTACTATGTCTGCAGTCTCTGGTCATCTCCTGTACTATGTCTGCAGTCTCTGGTCATCTCCTGTACTGTGTCCACAGCCTCTGGTCACCTCCTGTACTATGTCTGCAGTCTCTGGTCATCTCCTGTAGTGTGTCTGCAGTCTCTGGTCATCTCCTGTACTGTGTCCGCAGTCTCTGGTCATCTCCTGTACTGTGTCCACAGTCTCTGGTCATCTCCTGTACTATGTCTGCATTCCATTGGTTCAGAATAATTTTTTTCTTGTTTTCCTCTTCAAATCTAGGTGCGTCTTATGGTCAGGTGTGTCTTATGGAGCAAAAAAATACGGTACCTGTCCAGCGATTAAGCGCTGTGCTCACCCAGTCTTCGGGTTCTCGGCGCCAGCATGTTTACTATTAGGGGAAGCTGGCTGTGACTCCTTGCGGAATCACAGCCGGCTTCCCACTGTCCAATTTGTGATTCTCACTGCATTGTATGAATGGTCCCACAGCCTCTTGGGACCTGTCACATGTCTCAGAAGGTTGAAGATGGGGGGGGGGGAATAAATAACTTCCGATCTGACCACCTAGGCAGTCAAAGCAGTAGTATGAGCGGGTGCCTACTAAAATAAAAGGAAAAGAAGTGGACTTAGAAATATATACTTATTAAGCAACATAGAATGAAAGCTTTCATGCTGCCTTAACCACATTTTGGCATGACAACATTTCCATGTGTCATGTGTGTGTAATAATCTTCACAGTGATACACATTACATTACAAGTGATGTGGGTCATGCTGTGTTACTGACATTCTGATAAATAATATATTGTAAACCATGGAAGCCTCAACAGTTAGTAGTGCCTGAGGAAAATATAATTTATTCCCAGACATGCTCCCAGTGATGTACAAGATACATTTCTTATTTATCTGTTTATATTCCATTTCAGAGCAACAAGCGGCTGTTAGATAGAAGCAGAAGAATAGAACCCTACTGAGAGCATGGCAGGCCAAGCTAATGCAACATTGGTAAACACAGTTTATTAAGGACTCATTTGTAAAGACGAACACATATGTGTATTTGTATGTTCTATATATAATAAGCATTAAAAATAGCCCTGTGTTCATTTATTTTTATTTTATAAGGTCAGTAACAAATAGCTGCCAATAAAAAAATAATATTTAATTTATTTTTTCTGCTGAAAGCTTTTAATAAATGCTGAAATTAAAATCTTAAATTGTAGTAGGTTATATCACATTGCTTTTTGTAAATAATAAATAAGCCTTCAGATACGAATCCAACATATTAACTGAAAGTGCTGTTGATTTTGCTAAGTGCCCTGGCAGACAATGCTGTACAGAGCCATAGCTTGGCTGCCTACTGACACAGAGCCACTCCAGGCAAGAAGAAAAATCAATCCATTAACTGCTAATGCTATTGAAACATTGGCACAAAGTCAGAAAATCCAGTCAAACTACCTTTAATCTGAGGTTCATACAATTAATTGCAATCATTTGATTATTTTCTAAAAGAAGCATGTGGGGTTCTGTTGTTTGCATCCCTCTAAACTTTTACTTGCCTGGCTACTATGGTGATCTGCTGGCTTTAATGCCATATTCACATGGGGGACTAGTGCTGGTGCGAATGACAGCGGCATGATTCCTGCAGCTGTTTCAGCCACCTGGGAGCGGCTAGCTATATATGCCAAATCCTTTCAATGACAAATCGCAACTCTTCATGGCTGTCCGCCCAGCCAACAATTGCCTGCAGTGATCACTGCCAGATGCACTTTACTGCAGGTAATCACTGGCCTGGCAGACAGCCACAGATAGCTGCAGCCACCACCGACCTGTCATTGAAATGTACATGGCTGGTGGCCACAGCTAACTACTCAGATGTGGCAAAATAGCTGCAAAAAATCAGCAGATTCCTTCCGCTGTTCATTTGCGCCAGTGTTAGTGACCCGTGCAAATGTAGCCTAATATTTTCTGTGTTACTGACCTGAAACAAGCGTGCAGATCAGGAAGACAGAGGAAAGTCAGATCTCCTCATCTGCATGCTTGTTTTGGGTCCATGACTTAAAGTGGTTGTGAACTTCAGACATGAAATATGAACAAAGCATATATTGCTATAGTTTGTACTTGTCTCATTCCAGAGCACCAAGTGTCATTTCTGTTTGCTGCCTCATTCCTCTGCTATCAGCATAATTCACTTCTGACACACATTTTCCTGACACCAAAAGAAAATAGGGTGACAGGAGACGGATCTCCAGCACACAACCTGTAATTGAGAGCCTCAGTTCCATGTCTGTGTGCTGCGTGATGAGGGGTGTTTCCCTTCCCTTCAATCAGCTTTTAGAGCTCCGCTTACTGAGCTGTGCAGTGTGTAATTTCAGCTCCCGCCCCCCTGTTTTCTGAAAGCTTAGACAAGCTTTATAAATTCTATACTTTGAATGGATGTAAAGAAGAGAAGACTGCAGATAAACCATACAACTTATATAGGAGGGTTTGTCTCCTCTCTGTGTATCGCCTGAGGCCAGTCACTTTGCTGGGTATATGTAAGGGTTTACAACCACTTTAAAGTATAGAAGCCAGAGTATCAGCATGACATCTAGGCAACTAGCATTAGCAGAAAGGAAAGTCAGCAATCACATGTTTTTATGTTCCTCTGAGGAAAGGTTTACATTAAAATCAGATTCTTAGTGGAGTTGTGAACTCTTGTTTCACGATACTGTAACATCTATGTACTATGGTGCTGTTAGTCCTCAGTTTAGGGATTTTAGCACAGAAAACAAATGAATATTAAATTGTGAAAAAGAATAATAATTCTGATCTGTAGCCTATTCCTTATCCTGAACCAGACTCCTAAAATTAATCTTAAGAGTAACTCTATGCAAATGAAAAAGATTTTGCATATACAATTGCTATACATGCTATATTTTAACTGAATGTTATTAAATATTACCTTCCCTTCAATCTGCAGTGCTGTAATTTTCTGCAAAATTCAATGCACATACAAACTTGACAACCAGGAGGCGTTTTGTATACAGTTGGTGTATGAAATGCCCCTAAGGGCTCATGTACACTGCAGCTGCTAAACTGACGTTCAAGAGCTGTTGAGCATTTTTTTCAGCAGCCCTTGAACTCTCCTTTATGTTTTCCCATGTGTCCATGTACACCTAGTCGCTTACAGGAAGTTGAGTTTACAGTCGTTTTTTTTTGAACGAACCAAAGTTGTGTTCAGGAGTAGACTTTATCGGCTTTCCAAATGCTTGTAAATGTGTGTAAATGCTTGTAAACGCGGGTAACCGCGTTTACTAGCATTTGTGTTTTTGACAGGTCCATATCCAGATGCTGTCCAGAGCCTTTTTTCTTCAACAAAAATGCATGCAAAGTGTTTTCCATGTATTCAAATGGACCTAGTACACCAGCATAGTCAGTTCCAGGTTTCACGTGAAGGAAAAAATGGTAGAACGTACTGCATTATGCTCATGATGGGATCCATAGTGAATACAACCAGAAAAGACAGGTAATCTCAACACATACTGCTCTCTCTGCTTCTGCTCTCTCTATTTCTCTCAAAATGTCTGAAATAGTTAATTACTTACTATTTCTCAGTGCATTCTGGGCATTTGGGAGGGTCTCCTGAAGTTATCTTTAAAAATACTTCTAAATGCAAACGTGCATAAACGCGGTATGCAAACGCGGCTAAACTGACATTTTTTAACCTACGTTTTCAAGCAGTGAGTTTTCAGTGGTCAGAAGAGTTTCCCACATGCCCAGTGTACATGAGCACTTAATGTCGTTTCCTGCTTGTGTGACTTGCTCACTGATTTTCCCAGATGTCTGCACTATGATACAAGTCAGATTTTTGTTGATGCAGACACTGCAACCATTCTCATCAGAATACTGAGAGTACACCAGTTGATTATATTGAACCAGATCCATTCAGAATCAGTCTGAACAAATAACTAGTTTTTATTGCTTCAGCAGGTAGAAATCTGCAACAACGTTTGTTAAAACCTTTGCAATGTACATTGATCACCTAGAGGGAATTATTTTTTTCTCAATAAAAGTCAAGTTGCTCTTTAACCGGTTCCGAAATACTGCTACAGGGCGGCACGGGTGCACAAAATCACCTTCCATTCACGGCCTCGGCTGTCAATCACCAGGTCCCAGGCCGATGATTACTCGCCGCTACATGGTGATCGCCGAGTATCTCCGATGGGGGAGAGACCTGTTTATAAACAACACAGATCTCTCCACTGTCAGCTCCTGCACACTGCTTTGTATGGCTCTGCATAGCACAGCCCTACAAAGCAGTGTGCATACAGTGAAACACACACACAGCACACATAGTGAAATACACACACAGCACACATAGTAAAACAGCACACTGCACACTTAGTAAACACACACAGTACACAGTTTACCCTTTGATCGCCCCAGATGTTAACCCCTTCCTGCCCAGTGTCATTAGTACAGTGTCAGTGCTTTACTTAGCACTGATCACTGTATTGGTGTCACTGGAGATGTCAGTGACACCAAATCAGTTCCCCCCATTGTCAAAATGCCCACCACATTCCCGCTATAAGTTGCTGATTGCCGCCATTACGAGTAAAAAAGAAAATTCCAGTATCTATACCGACCATTTGTAAACGCCATAACTTTCACGTAAACCAATTAATTTACACGTATTGGGATTTTTTTTTAGCAAAGACATGTAGCAGAATACATTTTGGACTAAATTTATGACGAAATTTGATTTTTTTAATTTTTCTTTACTGGACATGTTTGATAGCAAAAAGGCAAAAATATTGTTTTTTCTCAAAATTGTTGGCCTTTTTTTGTTTATAGCACAAAAATAAACAACGCACAGGTGATCGAATACCACAGAAAGAAAGCTTCATTTGTGGGAAAAAAAGAATGTAAATTTAATTTGGGTGCAGCATTGCATGATCGCGCAATGTTCAGTTAAAATACCGCAGAGCTGTATCACAAAAAATGGCCTGGTCAGGAAGGGGGGTAAATCCTCAGGAGGGCAAGTGGTTAATGCTGATGATAGGGGATTCTGCCACTGAGAATAAACACTAGGGACTAGAAGGGACACTAGCCTCCATCTGACATCAGCCTACGGGTTTAACTATAGCCATAGTAGACCAGACCATAACTATGGGACCAGGAAGCCCAGGGGCCCAATATTGTCTGGCCGAACAGCGATACATGGAATTGAGTTTGGATGAAATGAAGGTATGTATAGTTTGGGAAGCTAGAAAAACAATTAGTATTTTGCATGACAAAATCTTTCTCTGCTAGAACCTTATATTTCAGTCAAGAATTACATTGCTCCAAAAAGCAGTGTATTTTTCAAAGACTTTCCAAGTAGATGTATTTCACTTCAATAAGGGGTTAAACTCCTTCCAAAGACAGCTACTAAACCATGTTTAAAGAGGCAAATATGGAAGAAAAAAAAATACAAGAACCATTTACATATCTAATCAACTTAATTTATGTTACTATGTAATTAAATTCTGTTAATGCTGTTGGCAAGTGCAGTTAGCTTGCCTGCCACTAGATGGCTCTGTTCCCATTAGAGCATGGTAAAGGAAAAGTTGTAATTAGGTGTTTGTCCCCCCCTTTGGATAAATCCCTCCTTTAGTAATGTAATAGGTGGAGTTATTGCCCATAAATGCTAGTGGTGGGTGGAGCTCAGGGTTGTCAAACACCCCAGAGCTGTCAAGATGTAGTCACTTGCAGATCTAAAGGGACCTTTGCAGGGCTGAAGTCCCAGGCGAGGTGGCATGGATCATGGCATGAGTAGCTGTAGTCATCCTGTCTCCCCTGACCTTCTTCTGCAGGTGCTGCAGTGGAGTGCTTAAAGCCATGGAGGCCTAGACAGGGTCCCTTGTTGTGAGTCATGGTGAAGCCTGGAAATAAGTGTGCCATCTGGGAGTGTACCCAGCTGGGCAGAGCAATGAAAGGGACATTGGGAAGAGACTTGTATACTAATGAGAGAACCTTTATCCCCCCCAAATCCTCAGCTGTGGGTTCGGTGACTTGGTGATGGAAGCTAATTGCTGTGGAGTTGGCATACATGGGGAAGAGGTCCCAGTTCTGTGGTGCACCCAAGGAGAAGAATGGATGTGTACAGGGAAGATAGCCTAAAAGATGTGTACTCGAGTTCTGCACTGAAATGACTGCAACAGAATGTCTAACCTTGCATGTGGCATACCACGCCGAGGATTCTGCTAATATGTCAATATGATATGTCACGGAAGATTTACAGTAAAGTGCGGAAAATGCATTTTTATGTGGACATTCCTTTACTCTCAAATATTAAGGCCTCGGGACGAGGATGTCATGAGTGGGCCTTAGGCCAGCAGTATGACACAATATGGCAGAGAGTTTAACTCAACAGGTAGATGCATGTCCTATCTGAGAACAAGCCTGGCGCTGTAGTAGGATTTCACATGACTCACATTCATTTGCATATGTGTTATTGATAATATAATTATTATTCATATTATTATTAGTAGTAGTATTATTATTATTTTCAATATTAAGCAATAGATATTAGTCTCTAGAAACGTTTACTATATGATTTTATAATATAGACAATATACATTTAAAGTTGAACTCTTGAGCACTACCATAAAAATGGTATTCTTAGAGTAGAAAAACAACTTTGACAGGAAATTAATTAAAAACTGGTACTGTCTAGTCTAAAGTGAATAGCTGTCTAAGATGGGAAGACTATGTACCATACATTAATTAAGTTGATAGGTCCATAAATAAGAGTCTGCCTGTATCTAACCTAATACTTTAAAATAGATTTAAAAGAAATACAATATATATATATATACTGTATACAGTGCCTTGAAAAAGTATTCATACCCCTTGAAATTTTCCACATTTTGTCATGTTACAACCAAAAAAACATAAATTTATTTTATTGGGATTTAATGTGAGAGACCAACACAAAGTGCCACATAATTGTGAAGTGGAAGGGAAATGATAAATGGTTTTCAATTTTTATTACAAATAAATCTCTGAAAAGTGTGGTGTGCATTTGTATTTAGCCCCCCTGAGTCAATACTTTGTAGAACCACCTTTCGCTGCAATTACAGCAGCAAGGATGTCTCTACCAGCTTTGCACATCTAGAGAGGGACATTTTTGACTATTCTTCTTTGCAAAATATCTCAAGTTCTTTTTAGATTGAATGGAGAGCGTCTGTGAACAGCAATTTTCATGTCTTGCCACTGATTCTCAATAGGAATTTCACTTGGCCATTCTAACACATGACTATGGTTTGATCTAAACCAGGGGTGGGCAACTGTGGCCCTCCAGCTGTTGTAGAACTACAAGTCCCATGAGGCATTGCAAAACTGACAGTTACAAGCATGACTCCCAAAGGCAGAGGCATGATGGGACTAGTAGTTCACCAACAGCTGGAGGGCCACAGTTGCCCACCCCTGATCTAAATCTTTCTATTGTAGCTCTGGCTGTATAGAGTTGTTGTCCTGCTGGAAGGTGAACCTCTGCCACAGTCTCAAGTCTTTTTCAGACTCTAACAGGTTTTCTTCTAAGATTGCCCTGTATTTGCATTCATCTTCCCATTAACTCTGACCAGCTTCCCTGTTCCTGTTGAAGAAAAGCATCCCCACAACATTATGCTGCCACCACCATGTTTCACGGTGGGGATGGTGTTTTCAGGGTGATGTGCAGTGTTAGTTTTCCACTACACATAGCATTTTGATTTTAGGTCAAAAAGGTCAATTTTGGTATCATCTGACCAGAGCACCTTCTTCCACATGTTTTCTGTGTCCCCCACATGGCTTCTTGCACATTGCAAACAGGACCTCTTATGGCTTTCTTTCAACAATGACTTTCTTCTTGCTACTCTTCCATAAAGACCAGATTTGTGGAGTGCAGGACTAATAGTTGTCCTGTGGACAGGTTCCCACCTGAGCAGTGGATCTCTGCAGCTCCTCCAGAGTTACCATGGGAATCTTGGCTGCTTCTCTGATTAATGCTCTCCTTGCCCAGCTTGTCAGTTTATGTGTACGGCCATGTCTTGGTAGGTTTGTAGTTGTGCCATACTCTCCATTTTCGGATGATGGATTGAATAGTGCTCCATGAGATGTTCAAAGCTTGGGATATTTTTTATAACCTAAACCTGCTTTAAACTTCTCCACAACTTTATCTCTAACCTGCCTGGTGTGTTCCTTGGCCTTCATGATGCTGTTTGTTCACTAATGTTCTCTAACAAACCTCTGAGGGCTTCACAGAACAGCTGTATTTATACTGAGATTAACCGCTTCTGCGCCACCCTGTAGCAGAAATACTGTTACAGGGCAGCACGGGTGTGCAAAATCACGTATATATTTGTGCTTTTGCTGTTATGGGTAGGGGGCACGCGGCCTCGGCTGTCAATCACAGGGTCCCGGCCCGTTATTCCTCGCTTATATCCGGTGATCGGTAAGTATCTTCGACAAGGGAGAGGCTTGTGTATAAACAACACAGATCTCTCCCCTGTCAGCTCCTGCACACTGCGTTATTGGCTCTGCATAGCAGAGCCATTCAAAGCAGTGTGCTTACAGTGTAAAGCACACACACAGCACACTATAAAACAGCAGACAGCACACAGTTAACACTTTGATTGCCCCACGTTAACCCCTTCAGCCCAGTGCCATTAGTACAGTGTGCTTTTTATTGACATTGATCACTGTATTGGTGTTACTGGGGATGTCAGTGACACCAAGCCATTTCCCCCCAGTGTCAGAATGCCTGCCGCAGTCCTGCAGTCCCGCTATAAGTCGCTGATCACCACCATTACTAGTAAAAAAAATAATTAAAAAACAAATTCCAGTATATATACCACCATTTGTAAGCGCTATAACTTTCACGTAAACCAGTTAATTTACACGTATTGGGATTTTTATAGCAAAGACATGTAGCAGAATATAGGTTGGCCTAAATTTATGAAGAAATTTGATATTTAAAATTTTTTACTGGACATGTTTAATAGCAAAAAGTCAAAAATATTGTTGTTTTCTCAAAATTGTTAGTAATTTTTTTATTTCTAGCTCAAAAACTAAAACACGCACAGGCGAACAAATACCACCAAAAGAAAGCTCTATTTGTGGGAAAAAAGGAAGTAAATTTAATTTGGGTGCAGCGTTGCATGACCGCGCAATTTTCAGTTAAAATTATGCAGCGCCGTATCGCAAAAAAACGGCCTGGTCAGGAAAGGGGGTAAATCCTCTGAAGGGCAAGTAGTTAAATTACACATGGGTGGACTCTGTTTACTAATTCGATGACTTCTGAAGGCAATTGGTACCACAAGATTTTAGTTAGGGGCATCGGAGTATTGGAGTAA